CTTGGGTCTTGCTCATCTCTTGTCACAATCTGGAAACTGTTGAACAAATTGCGCGTCGTCCAGTTTAAGACGTTAGTTATTTTATTATTTATTCATTCAGTTTTGTATGGTGGACTCAGAGTTTTGTGAGGTTTATTATTTTTTTGCGACGTTCTTTGTTTACTTGTTCACCGTTTGAGAGATTTCAGTTTATTTGATTTACGTTTTTACGGTAGCTCTGAGCGGGACTCGAACCCACTGTCTTTTCAAGCTAATTTTGTTTTATTTTGATGGCACGCTTGTGTACCACGCCACGACGTTGGTCGTTAAGTGGTGTTCAGTTTTCTAACTACTCCAGTGTTCCGATGAGTTGAACGGAAAAGCCAAAACGATTGCTCGTTTCTGATTGCTTCGGTTCTGGTGAGTGTGTATCTAGTGTGATTCGAACCCATGTCGTTTGTATTGGGCGATTTTTTATTTCCCATGTTGGCTACGCCGTAATATGCAACTACTTCCCCGTTTTATTGTAAATTTGAGTGTTTAATGATGTCTTCCTTACCAGTCACGCCATGACCCAGTTTCAACCACACGGCCATTTTGCAACACAGTTCGTGACCCTCGGCGTCACCCGACTGACTATATGAGCGTTCTGTTCAACTGTTAAGCTAGGATTTATTACCGTTATTATCATTATATTGTCACGTGATTTGTTTTACCTTATGTGTAACGTCTTAAGTATCTTTATTGTAATTTGTATATACCAATTCGTATATACCGAGGAAACGACCCCGATTGAAGGTCATGTATTTTATGACGTCACCAATTCGTGTGTAGGTACTGCTTCTAGATCTGTGCCCACATGTATATTATCTAATTCTTGTGTGCTCTAAGCTATTGTTCTTTATATCACACATGTGTATTTGATTCTTGTGTGCTCTAAGCTATTGTTCTTTACATCACACATTATACATGTATATTTCAGATTACCCTAGGAAGAGCTACCAAAGTAAACAATATAGATGTAGACTTATCATTAGAAGGACCAGCATGGAAAATATCACGGAGACAAGGTGTGATCAAACTACGCAATAATGGTGATTTCTATATTGCAAATGAAGGCAAACGACCAATATACATTGATGGTAAACCTGTGTTAAAAGCAGAGAAAGCAAAATTAAATAATAATTCAGTAGTTGAGGTAAGAAATCATATGTATTTAATACAATGAGTTCTAAGTGTTTATAATTAAACTGACTGAGGTGTGTTTTTAATTCTTGTATATGTGGCCATTAACTGTGTGTTTTTGTTATTGACTTTGGTTGACTATTGATGGTCAGACTCTGCGTGGCCATGAACTGTGTGTTTTTGTTATTGACTTTGGTTGACTATTGATGGTCAGACTCTGCGTGGCCATGAACTGTGTGTTTTTGTTATTGACTTTGGTTGACTATTGATGGTCAGACTCTGCGTGGCCATGAACTGTGTGTTTTTGTTATTGACTTTGGTTGACTATTGATGGTCAGACTCTGCGTGGCCATGAACTGTGTTTTTGTTATTGACTTTGGTTGACTATTGATGGTCAGACTCTGCGTGGCCATGAACTGTACCATTTGTCATACATATCAATCAATAATCAACTTTATTATTATTTATCAGATAACTGGTTTGAGGTTCATTTTTCTTATTAATCAAGACTTGATCAGTATCATCAGAGCTGAAGCAGCAAAGATGGCTGTGTAGATGATGTCTCTCATTGTAAGTACCAAAGATGGCTGTAAATATAGATGTTACCATGATTGATGTCTGGTAGTTATGCTAAATCTGCCGAGGTGCTTTCCGTTCTAGCAATTCATTTGTGCTAGCATTTCGACTGCAATAAAAGTGTATTCAATTGTGTTATACTATACTCCAGAGAGGTTCATGTCATATTGAGTGGTTGGGTGTGCATATTTGTATTTGTATTTATGTATTTACACCAGAAAAAGAAAATATACATAACACAATTAATTTTTCCTTTTTACCACTGCAAAGGATTCTGGTGTGGGTCATGGAAATAGCTCATTTGAGCTAGTCGAGTCCTAGACCCGGAATAAGAAATAATATTGTACTGACGTGCGGATTATCATAAATTTATCATATACATATATTTTATACTACCAGTC